AAACTTATTTTCTCTCTCTCCCCCCTCCCCTTTTATGATTTTTAAAACTTTCTTTTAAATTAAATTTTTGTAAATTTTTTAACATCTATATTATACATGGAAAGAATATAAAGCGTAACATACGAACAACAAGGACACAACGATTCACCTGAGATTCACTTTGCCACACCGTGTCATCTGTGCCTCTTATTGGAAACTCCCAAGGTGGACAGTATGCGGGTCTACCTGAGGTCTGTTCGCATTGCTTATACTTTTTGCACTCGGCATCTTCGTTTTCTCTCTTTTCAACGTCCAAATATATATTTATCTCATTTTAAGTTCAAAAATTTTTGGAGATTTCAAGCAATGCGAACAGGTCTCTGATCTATGCTAGCAGACTCAAATTCGATTCCCAGCAGATCCAAGAAATTTTTATGCGCTCGTAGCTCTTCTTCGACGTCTTGCAAATCACCAAAATTATGTTCAGATTCCCATCCGAGTGCCACTCAGATATCACTCCACCCTTGTTATTTATCAAACATTAAATAAGGATTACATGATATTCGAGAAGTATCCGGATGAGAACACGCCTCAAGAGGGTTATCTATTACCAAGAAAACCTTTCAAACTGCTGTTGGGAACCAGCGTTAAATTGTAGATCCCATATGTCTAGTGTGTCCGGTGAATATACCTAATATTCGAATAAATGAATAAAAACACATATTCGAATACTTCTTTTTTATTCATCAAGAAACGAATAAATATTTTTTCATTCCATTTGAATGAATATTTTTTGAATATGATTACGAATATTTTCGTTTTGTATTCACTTTTACTTTATATTATCTGCACATAGCTTGCAAGCCTGCAAGAGAAAACAGAAATCTATAAAAACATCATGATTAATATCGTGCGCTTAGTCCGCGACCTATATGATGGGCATCCTTGTTTAACTTACAGGTTAAACAAAGACATTTTTATTAGGAATAAATAATATATCTCGGAATTTAATGTCACAGATCATAATGAACGACGCGCCCAAGATATCTTATAAAATGTTTATAACATTACTGTTATGTAACTGGAATTACATTGGAATATGGCGCTCTATCAAATAGATATTTATAAATAAAAAACTATTGATTTCTAAAATATTTTTCAAAATTTCTAAGTTTCCTTCATAAAAATCTAAATATTACAATAACAAAATAAATAAAACTCATTTTTTTTATTTAAAGTCAAAATGCTGATTATATAGTTAAGGAGTTACGATTGCTTTTGGAGTTTTTTTTTTCAGTTTATATTAGGTGTTGGAATTAATTCGTAGCGTTTTACAAGTGATGGGAAGTACTTTCATTAATGTATTTTTTAATGCTCATGTGAAATAAATAACATTCTTTCATTAAAAAACGCTACGAATTAATTCCAACACCTAATATTTTATTTGAATGAACATGAATACGTTAAATATTCATAGGTTCTTTGTGAATAAATATTTTTTGAAAAACTAAAATTTTGAATGACTATATAATTACATTTTTTAATGTGAAAATTTTGAATAAATACAATTTTTAGAGCTCAATTTTTGTATTCATCGGGCATATTTAATTGACATTACATATATCTTTGTACAATCTACGTGCGCATCACAGACATACGTTCGAAAGGTAGATTCTGTCTCAACTTTAAGATGTTATTTCGCCATTGAAATGATATTCAGGAGTATATCTAACAAGCATGTAACGCGTGCATAATAAGCGATCAAAACCAGAAACGATCGAGGCTGAGATTCATAGAATTATGCTTGAATATATAATATTACGATAAAATCACAGCTGCCTGAATATTATAAACAGTCTTAAAATTAATTTCCTCTCCTCTATTCATTTCTATAAATAGACCAATATAAATTAACTTTAATCTTTTAGCTTACTCTTTATTTTTTTCTATATTCCTATAATGGGATAAAAATAAAAACTTTCTACAATAAACCATTGCCTAAGTTTCAAGTTTTAAGCCGTAAATAACCAATCATATAGTCAATTATTCTTCTCACATTCGACTGTGTAATTTGTCAATTTCTTATGGCTTAAAATTTAGGTAATTATTATAGAAAATTTGTAAGAATTAGAACTGAAAAAAAGCACATAATTCATATCTAAGGCGATTCCATTGTATCTGCTTTTTTTAATTGGTTCCTAGATATTATACAAATAATTACACAATTTAAATCAAAATTATTTTTGCAAGCTGGCGACTAACTTTTTTTGTATTCTCTGATTTTTGTATTGTATAAAATACTCCAAGTAAAATACTCCAAAAAAATTATTTTTAAAAAGTTTAAATGAAAAATATATGTACATATTATTAATAATTTTGTAATGTCAAATTAAATTTAAATAATAAGCTTATACTTTAGCTTTGGAAAATGTGCTGTCAGTGCAATTGTGTTATTCTATCTTCATTCTTATCACTCACTAGAAAATAAGTAAGATAAAATGGCACAATACAGCTAATGACACATTCTCCGAACGCAGCAATATATGAGCTAATCCTTTCAATTTAATTTTTTTTCTTATAAAACTCTACAAAAATCATTAATAATATGAAATAAAGTGGGAATATAAAGGAATAAAATGCTTATAAATACCAACACTAGTTCTTCGTGTATAAATTTTTATTAACTCAATTTATTAAATCAATGTAAACGTTTTGAGCCATCTTCAATACAATAAAAGCATATTCTAAATTCTAAATTATAAATTCGCGCATCATGGTAGTCGCTTAGATCACATATCATCGTGGGTATCAAATAATGCAACCAAAGTCAGCTCTGTCAGATAATTTAAATTACAGAGATCCAGAAGAGATTCGCAAATAAGTATATTTTTTTTATGTCATTCATGAAGAAGTTTAGAAAAATATTCGGTCTCATATAAATCTCATATAAATATACTAGATCTTTATGATTTAAATTGTTTAACTTTGTTTATACAGTTTGATTTTCACATCATCTAAGTCAATCAATCGACTATCAACTACCACGATGACATGATGCGCGAATTTATAATTTTGAATATATTATTATACTATTATTGCACTGAAAATGAATCAAAACCAGGTGAGTCAAAAAATTTACTAAATTAATAATATATTAGACAGAGCAATTAGGAGTCAGCGCTGAAATTTGAGTTGTGCTATGTGTTAAGTGTTTCGTAATATATTAATCTAAGTAATAAGAAATATCCTATTCTAAGAATCTATAGACCTGTTCTTTCTAGTTAAACTTTTACATCAGATCTTTATTCCTTTTCTCTTCAAGAGAAAAAAAAAAGAAGATGAAAACTGGTGCAAAAGTTCAGTCCAAAAGAACAGGTCTTATGTCATATTCTAATAAAACCTGATAATCTATGTCATATTCTAATAAAACCAGATATCAGGTTTTATTAGAACATGACATAGATTATCAATTAGGTTTTATTAGAATGACATAAATTATTAAAATAGGATATTACTTGTTATATTAGATTGATATATTAAAAATTGATATCTAAATATATTGTTAATTTATTATATGAAATTATGAGGAATTTTCATTCATTTTTGCGTACATCATTCTTAAGTTATCGAAAGATTTACATTAATTTAGTTAATTAATTAAAATTTATACGTATGAAAAACTAATGCTGGTCTTACTTACATCATTAGGTCTTATAGGTTTTTCATCTCTTTGATAAATAATACATACATGTTTTATTTAATTTCCTTTTAAATAACTTTTACGAAAATTTTATGATATTTGCATTGTGCTCGGAATATATTTTAAATATATAATATGCTCATAAATAATACAGATGTGTATTAACGCTATTAATTTAAAAAAATTTTGATAAAAGTCATAAAAGGAATAAAGAAGATAAGAATAATAATTTATATAAAAGTATTAATGACTTGCTTATTAACGGTTCTGGTCTGACTCGTAAACGATTATCTGATTTCCCAATGTGATCAGGATTTTTCAATAAAAACTAAATGTTTATGAGCTACAAACTTGAATGTTTCAATAAAAGTTGAAAAGTTTTTTTTTCCTTATAAAATTCAACCATTCAAATTATTAACAGCAAAAAATATATGTTACGTAACAATTATATATATATACGAGATAAATATTGACCGAGAACAAAATTTAACCTTAGCAACTGAGATAAAGTTCCAATTACGAGCATGCCGTTAAACATTCGTATATAATTCACATATATACGAAATTCCTATTCTTATATAATTTATACGAAATAGGAATAATAGGATGTCATTCGCGATTAACGCACGAACTCGTGCGTGTCGTGATCGTAATGTTAAACATCGCGGACAAGGTGAGCAACGTTGAGAAAAGGAAGCACAGAAAAAAAGCCCATCGCGATGAAACGCTTCGTCGAGCTGATCGAGTTCGTAGGAAGAATATGCAGATGATGCAGAAATGTTACTCACCGCGTGTCCTGCAGGGAATTAAGCAACCGTCTATACTTGATGTAATCGTCGAACAAATTAGGTTATATATCGTTCCTCGACTCGATTGGAACTCGTCAAATGCGATGACCTGGCGACGCCGCGCCGACGACGGGACACAAATTTGCACGTCGAGAAAAATTGTCGAGGGCACGTCACTGCAACTCGCGTGACCTTTTACCGTTTACGTGCAGAGCGTTATTCTTCGCTTCGCGTAGCCAGAGAACGAAAACGAACGAAGGAAAACGCACAACAGAGTACACTGTACACTGCTGACTGCAGTATTATGTACATACATGAACAAAAGCCATTACCTTCTTCCGCAATCGGAACGAAACGACGACCAAGTGAGAAACTGATCTCTCGCGGAGGTCGCAAGAATTAAAAGCTTTCTATCTTTCGGTAATTCCACATATTTACCTGCAATCGCTGCACAAATACCGACCTGTGATAATAATCGAACTGATGATATCAACTGTGATATCTACTCCATCATGGTAGTTTCCTCCATCATGGTGAATAATAGGAGTGACTTATCTTTTATGTTTCCACCATGATGGCGATCATAGCGACTGTTAAGTAACATGTTGCGAGATGTTAAATGGTTTCGGATCGTTTAAACTAGACAGTCATAAAAATTTTTGAACAGCAAAATTGTTGCGTTATGCTGAACGCAAAAAAGTAGTCAATGTTACTGGTTGAATAAGGATAATTGCCTATCAAGCTCTTCCTGTCCAATGGCTCCTGTAAATTGATATCAAACTGCTGTTTTCAACATAGTAAATCTGGTAATTTTAATAAAGTAGTAATTGAATTGAGTACATTCGTTAGAATTAAGTACATGGCCGTATATTCATATAGTGCTATATAGTGCTATTATGCTAAGAATAATATATAATTGACATGAATATCAGTAAATGGTAATACTGGTTGAATATCGCAATACAAGCGATATTATAATTAATACTATTAATATTATCTATTGTTATTGCTGGTTTACATGTACAATATATACAGATTTGTAAACCAAATTAATTCGATAAGTATTTTATGTAAGTATCTTATTGATTAATTCATTTACTATTTACATTGTATTTTGTTTTTTTTTTTGTAGACAATGAACAATATCTTAACCAATACGTTATTTCAACATATCGGTAAGAGTATCATCCAAGTCTGTTTTTTAAGAGAAGTCTATTTTTTTTTTTTTTTGGTAATTTTGCTCCATTTATGTGATTATCAGACCTACTATGCTGAAACACAGTCTTTATTATTTTGTACCTAAGCCTGTAAACTATTGAATAAAGATTTTGATAATTAAACTGTTGTCCTATTGTAACTTACCAGATTAAGAACAGGAAGCGCTTTCTTCACCAGTATCAGACTACCAGATCCTCTACCGAGGATCCGAAATGCTCATCTATATTCTATTCTTATATAGGAATCATATCGAAAACTAGTGCTTTCGGGAATTGAACGGTTATTCGGATTATTAATATAATTTCCAAATTCGATAATAAATTCTATTTAAAGGTGAATTAAAATTAAGCAATTTGCTAAAATTTTAATAAATAATATCATAAATTAATTAACAGACATAATATAACTTTGACAATTAATTTAAACAATCGCTTAAATACAAAGTGATAGATATCATGTGGCTGATAATTGAACTAAAGTTACATTTGCGAGCGTTATACTTGCGTATCAAAATCACAGCATACACATACATAGGATATACGATATCATTCCATCCTTGTCATGAAACATTAAACAAGGATGAGATATGATGACACGAACGTTGCAAACGTGTATTAAGTGGAACATATCTCTAATGCATATACAACAAACAAATAGATTTGAATGTGGTAATTTTATTAAAATATCAATATACAATAAAATACACTTCCATATTATAAGTTTAGTGGAAAATACTAAATAAGTATAATATTAACATTTCATTAAAATATTTAATCATATCACAATAGTTAGCAAGATAGATACACTACACGAATTTGGATGCAATCGTTATTAGTTCAGTATAATCTGCTCCTTTACTGTGAGTCTGTTCTTTCATTTTCATTCGGAGTATGTGGAATAGGCATCTGCATCGTTACTTAAAGATGTACCGTCGTCTACGAGTACCAGATTGTTGCTATCAAACTTGGGAACTTTAAGGACTGTTGGTGTTTCAATCCAACCAATATACTCTTTTTATATCCACTACTCTCAATTTACTCAATTTAATTATCTGACTCACAGAGGTAGAAATATTTCTGCTTGCAACACTTGACACCGCAAAAGGCGACAACATTGTCGTTTTAATCTCTCTTTAGGGTAATTTAAAATATAATATAAAAAATTGCATAATTTATTTAATATTACAATAACATTCGTGGCAATATAACCTTCCTCTTGGCAGAAAAAAGATAAACGATCAAGGATGAGATATGATGTCGCGAACGTTGCAAACGTGTGTTAAGTGGAACATACTCCTAATGCATATACAACAAATAAATAGATTTGAATGTGGTAATTTTATTAAAATATCAATATACAATAAAATACACTTCCATATTATAAGTTTAGTGGAAAATACTAAATAAGTATAATATTAACATTTCATTAAAATATTTAATCATATCACAATAGTTAGCAAGATAGATACACTACACGAATTTGGATGCAATCGTTATTAGTTCAGTATAATCTGCTCCTTTACTGTGAGTCTGTTCTTTCATTTTCATTCGGAGTATGTGGAATAGGCATCTGCATCGTTACTTAAAGATGTACCGTCGTCTACGAGTACCAGATTGTTGCTATCAAACTTGGGAACTTTAAGGACTGTTGGTGTTTCAATCCAACCAATATACTCTTTTTATATCCACTACTCTCAATTTACTCAATTTAATTATCTGACTCACAGAGGTAGAAATATTTCTGCTTGCAACACTTGACACCGCAAAAGGCGACAACATTGTCGTTTTAATCTCTCTTTAGGGTAATTTAAAATATAATATAAAAAATTGCATAATTTATTTAATATTACAATAACATTCGTGGCAATATAACCTTCCTCTTGGCAGAAAAAAGATAAACGATGTTAGAAACGATAAGTTAAACAAATTCTTTTTTTTTATATATTTTTTTATTGTAATTACTATAGAATACAAATTTTTAATAATTCTAAGTCTAAAATCAGTTTGAAATATTTAATCGCGATAACTTCTCTGAGATAGACTGAAAGCACAACAGTATTTATATAAACTCAGCTTTCCTTAAGGCCAATGTCCACGTTAAAGCCAATGTTAGAAATTGGTCTGAGAGACCTCAAAGGAAGAAAGAATTGACCAATCGCATTGGTCATGTGACCAAATCATTCAAATGTGATTTGTAAATTTTTTCTCTATATGAAATCTTGATTGATTTCTAGCATAATAGACATTGGGCTTTAGGATATTAAACCTAACCTAAAATTATTGACGGTACACAAGTGTGACAATACAGAAAACGGATTTTTTATTGTCATCATGAACAAGATACGTCGTCTCGAGAGAACGTTAATGCATTTGCGATCTCTCGGCGTTCTGAGAGCGAGTTCCTCGTCCACGAGATGTTTTAGCACGAGTAAAGATTCAGAGGAACAAAGCAAGAATTCGTCTGTGGAATCCAATATCGAGAAGAAACCTGCAATACAAGTAAATGAGAATGCAGAAGCTGTTCAGGAATCTGAAGCGAAATTGAGTGGTTTTGCACGAAGTTACGAAAAATTCTCGCACATTGATGATAAAAAAACTAGAAACGCCACAAACATTCGTTTCCTTAATTTACATCTCCAAATTTGCCGATGTAAATCTCTCTTTTTCATGGTGCATACAATTGTTTGACTGCTCTTTATTAAATACATAATTTTGTTTTCAGTTGGGTGATCCGGAAGGAAAAGTCGTAACTGGTGAGGTATATCACGTGGTTGGTGATGATCTGTATATTGATTTTGGATGGAAGTTCCACTGTGTTTGTCAAAGACCTGTCAAGAATGGACAGTACGTGTAAATCTATTTTTTTCCAAAATACATTGTATTTCCTAGATAACCAAGTCTGCTAAGATCATGTATTACTTTTTTTTGTGTGATACAAACTATGTTGACAGAACTCGAATAGTAGCCGAGCATCTGCCATCTCAGATAATGTTGGTAGAAATTTGTTTTTTGCATCGAAAACAAGTAGTTCCAATATCAACATATTATAAAAAATATTATTAAAAAATCCTGCAAAAATTAAGCAGAAATTTTTAACATAAAGCAGTACATTTTGAACATTGCATGCTAATACATGTCGTCGAAAACTATCAAAACTGAGCATAACGATATTATCATATTATACTAGCAAATGTCATCAGAAATCGAATTTATTTGCTTGCATGACGTAACGGCAATGAAAACATGGCAAAAATCAAACATGTTTCAAAAAGTAACAGCAAATACACAGCAGAAACATGGCACGGAAATGTTATATCGAACCATATTTCTTCCGTTTACCACTATTCAATATAACTATCAATATTTATTTCATATTTAAATTTTTGTCATGGTCAAATATAAAGACTGCAAAACGCAACGAGTGAAAATAAAAATGTGTAGTATTTTCCTATCAGTTTAATTTTTGATACAATTCCTATATAGAATTTAGAAGATTAAACTGATTTTTTAAAAACTGAGTAATAATTTCTGCTGTTTCTGCCATTAATAGTTGATATGATAGACTAATTGTAAGTCATCATCATGCACATTTTCTGTTGTATTTTTGCCGTTAGTGTCTAATATAACAAGCGATAATCTATTTTTGTCTATTTCTGATGTCAAATCATAAGTACATCATAGCTCATCATGCATGATTTCTGCTGTTTTTTTTTGCCATTAGTATCTGATATGATGAGCCATATTCTATTTTTGTATTCATATTTTTACCATCATATTATGACAAGATGTACTTCATTCTTGCTGCATTTCTGTTGTTATACTATGTTTGGCAAGTCATGATGACAAAAATCAAGCTTAAAGAAGATGCAGTAGACAGGAATCTGCTTTACAATTGTGATTTGCCGATATAACGCTAACATTTTGCTATCTGGATTGTTTAATGATATTTACTGTATATCAAATATATCTACTGATGAATATTGTCTTAAATATTGTTATAAATTTTGTTCTTTATATTAGATACTATGTGAGAGGATCTAAGGTTCGATTAAGGATAAAGGATTTGGAACTTTCCTCCAAGTTCTTAGGTGCTGAAACGGATATAACTCTTCTGGAAGCTGATTGTACTTTAATCGGCTTAATATCGTCACCTTTGAAAATGACAGAACAAAGAACGACAACCAGAAGACTGAGAATACGAGATATTTTGTAATTATTAACGTTAATTTTATAATATCTATGTTAAATAAACTATAAAATATTATATGATATGTATGTAAATAGCATATTTCCAGCAATTTTATATAAAGTAATATATAGTGTATATTACATCGTTCACAATCTAAGTTTCTGATTTTTTTTTAGGAATAATTGTCATTTTAGAGTTGCTTGCGGAAAAAGAACGAAATTAGAAACAAAAAAAAATATATTTTAAAAGAGCATTTAAAAGACATTTATCTTAAAAGAACTTAGTTTTTACATCAGTTTCATTTTTACAATCAGTTATTACATCAAAACTGCATTTCAGAATTAATATAAAGTATTGATTATAAAAATCATAATTTCTTGATAATTAATATAGTAAAATTTTAATGAAAATTTCAAAAACTTGTTTTCTGGAATTTGTTTTTGGGTAATTTTCAAATGAGCAATATGTGGCTCGAGCATGTATACTAAGTAGGTATCACAGTCGGTATCATTAGCTCGAATTAAATTTCGCGTAGGAACATTAGATGCCCCTCATAGTGAACATTATAATTCACTTCATCAGGCGAGCAGTCTGATACCAGAGAGAGGTTTCTCTCTGCTGATACTGAGTACCTATGCAACATTCACGAAACGTTGGCATTCTAAGGGCGGTATTGATACTATTGATAGATCTCATATTCAAGACTGTCTTAAGTACAATCTTAAGAAATCATGAACCAATCAGAGGGCTGTATTAGCATTAAGACATTATTTAAGACACTCTTGAAATAAGAATACTATTGCCCTATTCACATTCAGACCTTATATTTAAGGCTTTTTAAATTTATCTTCAGATGCTCTACGAATTATTTTATTAGCTACTGAGCATCTAAAGATAAATTTAAGGAAGTTTTAAATGTAAGATCTGACTATGAATACCGCCCTAAGAATGGATTTGTACACGGAGATAATCCACGAAACACATAATTTCTGTAAAGAAAGTACCCGTGGAAGCGTCAAGACTACGAAATGTATCAACGTTTTTTTATGCCTTCTTGGAAAATTCAAGCTGAAATCATGTATTGAAGCGTCAGTTTAATCGCTTATATCATCTTTTCGAATCGTTACTTGTTAGATATTTTTATTAGCAATCCTTTTCATTTCTGCGAGAAAGCAGCCGGGTGCATCTACAATGCAAGACAATTAGATTAGTTCATAACTAATACGATTATATCACTACGATTATGTCTTCTCAGCTTGTATTGCGTTTCTACTTAGTGCCAATTTTCCGGATCAACTTGTAGCGATCGCGGAACCGGTTTGCGATGAATGAAGTCAGCTTCATTGCAAGTTATTTGCTAATGATTATGGCGAAAGTATTGACGAAGATATCGAAAGCGCGGCACGAATAGTTAATTAATCCTCGTTGCGATTACAGCACTCATGTCAATACAATATGTATATAATTACTCTATGAAAAGGCGCGTTGGATCGACTAATTTCAACAAGTGTTGTCGTACACGCTTGTCACATACGCTTAAAAAGTCATTTTTAATTAGCGCTTGTCTTTGTAGGGTCAAAGATATTTTTATAATTCCGTTCCACTATTTTTAAAAGATGGATTCGTCAATTTGCCTCTCTTACAAAAATTTAATTCATTTTATTGGAAAGTATAGTAATTAATTACTTATTTTGAGCATTAATTAAGTACATATTGTGTCGTTCAGTGCTTTTAATACTCAAAATAATCACTACCTTCTAATATTAATTATTTTCTGTAATCTGGATGCAGATTGATGAATGTGTTTCATGTCTTTTATAAAAAAATAATAAGTTTAATTACTAACAAAGTTAAATATCTTCCTAAATAATAATGCTTTTAATACTCAAAATAAGCAATTAATTTTTTTTTCAGTAGTGAAAGAGCAATTTTGTTGAAAAATCTAAAAATTTTGGCTAGATACAGATCTGGAAGTAATTTTGTTGGATCATCGAAATAATTTTGCAATACTGCAAAATATTTTGATATTTTAGCAACCTTGTTTTGATCCAGCATAATCACTTTCAGATCTGTATTTAGTTAAAATCTTCAGGTTTTCAGCAAAATTGCTCTTTTGAACTTTGTTTTACAACTCACGGTTAACTCTTAACCGAGGTTCAACTTATTCATTACCTCTTTTCAATTTTAGGAAGTTGTGAAACTGGGCGGTGTTATTTTAGGTGTTAAATTAAATTGGATTTCTGTAAGGGATTCGAGTTGGACTCATGGCACTGTGTCTACACCCAAGTAGCACAGCAACGCTTGCAAAGCGCTAAAAAAACGATTATATGCATATTTTTAGCCCTTTGTTAACCCTTTGTAAGCACTGTGTGCTATTTGAACACATGCATCGAAGCAAATTCGTTTATTCGCGCTCTTCGCTCGATCTAGATCTAACTCCAGAGGTGCGCGCATTTATGTTCGGCCACATAACATACATTATGAGGCCCGCCACTGCGACGACGGCTGCACCCCTTGGGGTACACGCGCTTATATGAGCGCCTGATACTTTCCAAAGGTCAACAATGACAGCAAAGAGGAGCTGCACCGCCTCGTAAAAGCGACGTTGCGACGTGCCTTGGTTACATTATGCAATCGGCTTTTTACTCAACGGTCTGAACTATATTTTCTTTTTACTCGGCTAACCTCGCGCTCGCGGGAAGGTTCCAGCTACCGACAACCAAGGCGTCCATTCACTTGCTTCACCAACGCGAGAGAGGAGCAACTGATCGGTTGGGTTGGAGTAACCGAAAGAGCGGCAGATATTTCGCGACAGAGGAATATCTCTTTCTCTCGCTTAAAGAGATTACATCTATCGAAGCGAACAATAAATAATGCTTTCTTTCTCTTTCTCTGATTGATAGGCGATATAACGATCTCGAGGATTGAAATTCCGTGACATTTTCGAATTCCGATGCGACGAACGACACGCGATATATATTGCGTGCGCATTACAGAAATACGTAGTAAAGCATGCTTTTTCTGCGATTTCATCGAATACAATGAGTAATGTTTTTAAATAATTTACGTTTATCTCGTATCAATAATCCAGGTAGAACATAAGATATCTCATATATATATATATAGAAGAAAGGCCTCTATTATGAGATACCGAGTTCATTTTGGATAAATGCTAGAAGTCTATAGACAGAATTTAAAAAAATAATAGGTCATTTTGATGGGAATTTAATAAGCTTTAAGATAACGTTATATAAAATTTAATTCAAATTCCATTTTTTTTGAAAACTGAAGAAATGCCTATCTTATAATAGGAAGCTTTTCTCTAATAATAAGGAGTTTTTGCAATAACGTAGATCCAGATATAGTGAGCGTTAAAGTCATGTTATCCTTTTCTTAATTAGTTGTTAAGAAGAAGATAGCGTGACCTCATAGCGTTCACCTGAATAAACGGTATCTGAATAAACGTTATTGCAAAAACTCCCTAATGTTTTAAAATTCTACCCGTAGTGTCATCCAGGTATCATTCTATTTTGCTTGTCGTTTACCGAACATTAAATAAGGATAACATCGTCTAGTGAGAAATGGCAATGGAATCGACATCGAATCGAAATTATCAAATTGACGTCGTCCATTCGATATCAATTCCATTGTCACTTCTCACTGAGCGGAAGCATCCGGATGGGAATCTGAACACGTTCCAGAGTGATCAATATAATAAAGTCATAATAATAACATAGGACGTCATCATGACGAATATCATTTGAGATTTAAAATAAATATAAGTGACAAATAAGATCACATGATGTCTATTATGATATTATTATGATTTTTGTGCTTTACTTAGGAAATCAGTATGAATGCTATACATATATATATTGCTAATAACGCAGTAAGCAACTAATAATAACGTAACATTATTAATATATAGGCTTTCTACAATAAACCATTACTTAAACTTTAAATTTTAAACCGTAAAAAATTAACTAATCATAGTCGATTACATTATTCTTCTTCTATTCACAATTGTAATTGGTCGATTTCTTACAGCTCGTGACTTAAACTATTAGGTAATGGCTTATTGTAGAAAATCTAGCTCTAATATGTTATAATTTCACACTGAACAATATAAATATAATATACCACATGCTGCATGTAACAGTTACGTTCTTAAATGTGAAATTCTAACATTAATGTTATGTTATTGTATTACTATAAGGGTAAGATGATATTCAATGCATAAGATGATTCCAACTCAAATTTTCAAGGTATTCAAGAATTTTTGAGTAATATTCAAAACGATCGAATTCATTATACAACATTGAATTGTTTGAGAATTTTCTCAATGCCCGATTATTATAAATAGATCCGCGATACTCTACACATCGATCATCGCGCAAGAAACATCCATCATGTACCGTAGAACGTACATATCGAGAAAGATGATCGTGGGAAGATGCTAGCCGGCAATAAAATAATGCCGGTATATTTTACAGCAATCTAAGAGGAAGGATTATGAGGCGCAACAAACGCCGGGGACAGTGTTCGTTTAATGATGCGGAAGGTGTCGTTGCAATGAAAATTAATGGAAATTAACGAGACATCCCAATTATATACGCCTCGAAAACGCCACGTCGAGTTTCTCACGAGATGACGTAACGATGTCTTATGTATTTTCTATTAATTTACAATGCGATCGAAGCGAAATTGGCAGATATGTAATTAATAGGTTAATATATCCTAAACGGAATCGTAAAGGCTCGTAACTTGTTCTCGTAAAACTTGAAGGAACTTACGACTTACTGATACTGTAATCCTACCGTAATAAGATGTCAATCATTCGTAAATATCTACTTTATATTTCGTAAATACTAGCAAGAAGCTGCCTGCAAAGATATTGCATAAAGTTTTATGAGCACTTGTAAGTTCTTACAAGTTTTACGAGAACATTTTACGAATCTTATGATTCTGATTAGAATATTGATCCGCAAGTTTAGCATTTCATATATATATATATATATATACGTGGAGAAATTGATTTTTGTCAGACATTTATACATATTCAAAGTTGTTAATATTAATAATTTAATATTAATTTTGATAATGCATACTAAAAGCTATTGTACATGAAATTAATGAAGTTAAATGTAAAAGCATAAATATATTAAATAATTAAATATCCAATAATGCATCGTCGCATTTAATAGAATATACATATATGTATCATTTTATTAGATATTAACAAAGCAAATTATATTATTCCATCTGAGATACTTATATAAAGCAGTCTTCTCAGGTAGTTAACATGATCATGTTGACGTTTACTGTTTATGTAATGTCACCTCATTGCTTGAATGCGCACTAATTCAGTGTAATGTGAGTGATCGAAGTCACTATTAATTTAATCTAAATTCAGCATCGCATTGGTCTGCTGATTTTAAAAAACGCGTACATTAAAACTTTTAGAGTGAAATGACATTCTAAACAGTAAAATCTCACTCACTTAATAAAGATCTCGGTAAAAAATTGTTCATGCATGAATGTAAATATAAATATGTATAAACATACATAAATATTTATAAACATCTATAATTATATATGAAATATGTCCATATACATCCCTCTTTCTTTTGTAAAATTACTTTTTAATGTAATAGAAATAATAATAGTAACGTGAAAACATTAAAAATAATTAAAAGGGTAATTTTCATCACTATTTGTTTTAGAAAAGTTTAAAGAAATGTAAAAAAATTACTATAAAATTATGCATAATTGTGTATAAGCAATTTTTTTATGTTTTTTCCAAATTTATTTTTTTCTAAAACGAACAATGCGAAAATTATCCCTTTAATTATTTTTTATGTTTTTATTATTTCTATTATTATTTCTATAACACTAAAAAGTAATTTTACAAAAGAAAAAAGGATGTATGGACATATTTCATATATATGATTATACATGTTTATGAATATTCATATATCTTTATACATAATTATACATAGTTATGCATGAAAAATTTTTAAAATTTTGAAATTTGAGGCTCTCCTTCTTTTCACAATTGGCTCAATTTTCTCTCTTTAGAGTGAGATTCTACTTCAAAGAATTTAGAGAATAGCGAAATACATAAATGGCAACTGCTTTTAACCCCGCGTGAAGCATAAAAGTCAGCTTCGTCCCTTTTTTCTTTCTTTTTTTTTTTTACCAAGTTGTAGAGTTGCGTCAATACCGCGATGATGCGTAATAGAAAATCGTCAGAGAGACCGCAATCTTTTTTTTTTCTTCGTCGACCTCCGCAACGCGAGATCCCATTCTTTCAAAATGGTACGATCGCGTGCGCGAGGTCACGAGGAGGAGAGCGTAGGTAGAACACACGCTCCCGTTTCTGCACAATCTCATCTTCATATATCGCTTTTCAATATCGGGATACTTCCGCGATGCGCCGTCGAAACTTGGCTGAGCTCTGGTATAATCGAGCTCGTGCCGTTGAATTACAACTGGCTTGCACACTAATTGGACGAACCGACCCAAGGAACTCGTGAAGGGTGCCTTCCATTTAGTAACACAAGTCGACATAGGTATTGTTCTGTGTTTGTTACTCATAGAATGCAAAGAAAAGTATAACGACATTTGTGTCGACTTAATTGTGTCGTTATAAATGGAAGGCATCCCAAGTCAAGAGAAAGTAAAAATAACTCTATTTTGATGATGTAAAAATCAAACTGATGATTTTTTTATTTACACAAACTTGACTATTTATTGCCGTTAAGAATAAAAATCATTTTGATTTTTTTGTTAACTTTTGTTGGAAATAAAAACTATTCGCCAAAACGTTTGAAAAGCGAAAGTATCAAATAATTTTGAACAAATATGTGCCATAATGTTTTCCTTTATAGAAAAAAAAAAAAAATCTGTATCCAAGGAATATCATCAACCGGAGGCTGCGTGAAGGCCGAAGCCTCTTTTGACGCGATCAATAAGATCTGGAGAACATTGAAATCTTTGGGATTAATTGCGGAGAGAACTGTACGTATATGTCCGTTCAATCCTTTCAATTATCTCCCGACACCGCGTCTCGATCGGTGTATGGAATTCGATACACTTCGAGATTCACGTACGTGAATCCTATATAGTTCCGACAGAGATTTCTCGCGAAGAATCTCATCTCTGGCATAACACGAGCAGTAAGGTAGATTAAATGTACGAATTGCGTGCCAAGGGATAGGATCATCTACTAAAATAATATCAGTAACTGCATGTATACAAGATCTTGCTTGAAAAGTGATGCTCCAGATAGGAATTACATATAACTATATCAGAAGAGAGAGGACGTCATCTAAAAATGATAGGAAAAATCATGATGATATCTTGATGATATTCTGCAGTGTTCTACACATCGAGAAATAATTTACTAAAGTATTTAAAAATTTTGATACAGATCTGAAAATAATTTTATTGGACTAAAATTATTATGTAGGAAATTCAAGCACAATGTTGCGAAAAGCTTTAACATTCTAGCAATCAGCTTCAGAATCCTACATGTGTAATTATAATATTTTGATGATTTGACAAAATTATTTTTAGATTTGCAGCTAAATTTTCAGATATTTTCAGAGCATTTTTCCCTGTAAGATTCCAGCTAGCTTAATAAGATTTCTCTCTTTCTTCCCACTTTTTCTTTTTTTTTTAACATCCTGCACAGGAACAATTTTGCTGAAATATCTAAAAATTTAAATATAGATCTGAAAATAATTTTATTAAATCAAAAGTATTATGTATATAGAAAACTCAAGCATGACGAGCAATGTTGCAAAAAGTTTCAACATTCTAGCAATTACCAGCATCCTACAATATATGTACCTATTATTTTGATAATCTAACAAAATTGTTTTCAGATCTGTATCTGTAAGCTAAATTTTTTAATACTTCAGCAAAAAGTCTTTCGTTCTTATACCTGAGTATACCTAAGTGTTTTGATACGGAGTCATTATATCCTATTATCAAGCTCGTAGCAACATCGCTCGTAGCACAATCGCTCGCTATTTTTCGTCTCGATCGTACCTCTGCATCCGCGCAATTTGCTGAATACATCTATTAAACTCGAGAATTGGAACATACGAATTATCACGTTTCCTCCTATTTCCTCTTTGTGTGCACCGCTCTCACGTAACGTCGAAGCGTAATGATTTTGCAGCTACGATTTCTCAATATGGATCCGAAGTTCGGTCGCTTCATCTCCCTGGGAATCTAGACAAGCACGTACGCTATCTTTCTCTCCATTACGAGGCGAGCGGGAATTCTACAGGATGCCTATTGGGATACTATCATCGCTTCGTCTACAGACTACGACGAAACGTGAGTACGGTGACCCAGAGGTGGATCGTTAACCGGCGAGTTACGTGTCGATCGGTAATACCTTGACGATTTCAAATGCTTCAGTTTATGCGCGCGGTTCTATTTTATGGAACTATTTACAGCATAGAATCGTGTTAGGATCGCGCAATTATATGCGTAATATTCTCGTGCGATCGCGAGCTTCGATCTCGCAGATTAGTTCTTTTACAACTCGTCTTACGTAACTGTCGAATCTTCGGTTAACCGGATCTGATTCTCAGTCATATATAATTATCCGAATATTCATCCTCTGATGGTCTAAATAAAAAGGCGCGCAATTTCTTGACGAGATAATAGCTCTCATTAATAACTGTTGCTGTAACTGGCGAGAAAGATAAACTTTCCGTCATACGTGGGCACGTTTATAACCCACGTACCGCGCAGGAGATCATCCCGGATTGTCCAGGCACCCCGCAATACTTAGCAACACCCAGTTCCCGACCTAGCGCACACATGAATACTACACATCCTTGTCGATGCACTTCGGAGATGCTGTCAACGTATGATTGTGCAACGAGCCCGTCGCAATGGCGACGGTGATGACGACTCCGCGGGTATAATTCCCGCATTGAAAGAGCCGATGTAATTACAAGGGAGAAACGCGCGGCGAGTGCATACCAGCAGCGTCATCGGCTCAGCTTTTCCACGCTTTCCCACCGCTTTCCATCTTAGGATGTGCACTGAGAAATCAAATACTTCTCTGGTGAAACAATTTTGCTGAAATTATTCCACGTTTTGGAAACGTAACATTTCAGCGAAATTGCTGAAAATTTACTGAAATTTCACTAAAAGTGAATTTTTCAGCTAACATACTGAAAAATCGTTGACACTAAACTGAAATTACTTTGAAATTTCTCTGAAATTTTTTTGTTGAAATTCCCATATAGCATAAAATGTGTAGCAATATCGCTTTTGTGCAACTTTGTGCTGTAGGGGATTTTTCTCTGAAATTTTCGCTGAAATTTTTCTGAAATATTGCTGCGAAGTGTTCCAAAACGTGGAATAATCAGCGAAATTTTTCATTTAATTCATTTAATAATAAGAAATTTTGAGAGATTTAATAATCGTGTAACATACACTTTACTCAAATATTAAGTTGTTTTAAATAGCGCTCTTTAATCTACATGATATATCGTTTAGATAGTTTGCTTTACTTTTACAGCTCATTGCCTCAACCCTATCGCTTCGCTTTCATGCCAATCCCATTGGTCGACCTTCAGATCCATTCGGAGATGCCTGTCGATCTGTATCAACCTGGCATTATGCAATCACCCCTCATCTTAGCTCGATGAGATTCATCTCGACACCCGACGGATGCCTCCTCCGCCACTGCCACCCCCTCCGATGGTCCTCCCACTTTACGTGTCTTCATCCAGCACTCTATCTCTTCTTCTCTCTTCTTCTCCTCTTGGTGTCTCTAGTCAACGAGGATTCGTTGGCGAATCTTCAAGGAACGCATCACCGGATTATATCCAGCCATGGTGCCATCCCCGATTGCTTGTTGGAGGGTGGGAGGAAGACGATCCTCGCGCGGAACCAGTATATAAGCATGCTGAATCCAACCTGGATATGTGCAGATCAATTATCATAGTCGGTTTGGCGATATACGATTCCAACAGTGTGATTCAATAATATCTATTATCGATCGACAACGCGCAACCAACGAGATGAGATCGGTACGAGTCGCGCAATGGAAATCTCTTTAATTCGATTGTTGAAATTTGGAATGAATCTCGGATCTTCTAATCGGCCTAGTTAATTGCGATAGTTAATTGAAAATAGAATCTATTAATTGCATATGAAATTTTATGGACGGTTCTCCAACCAGCGATTTCCATTTATCGTGCAGAATGTCGTGTGTTTGAAAAAATATGAAATCTATAAATATCTGTGTTTTCGATTGCTTATTTTATTACTATTTTATTTCCTTATATTGTACAATTTTTTTTATCTCTTTCGGCTTATTTCAACAGCTCTCTATAGCACTGCTGGCCATCATTGGTACGTGCTATGCTGCAAGATTAGATACCACTTATCTTCCGCCCAGTAGTGCCGGAAGTGCAGGTGGACCAGGATTGATTCATCCTCCATCAGGACACAGTGGAGGTGGACCTATTAAACTTAGTCCGAGTGGTTCAGGTAGTCCTGGTGGTCCAAGTAGTTTTGGTGGTCCAAGTGGTTATGGTGGTTCTAGTGGTCCTAGTGGTCATGGTGGGTCGGGCGGATTTGGTCCTGGGAGTGGTGGCGGCGCTTACGCAGGTAAGTTTGAACAAAAGTATATTTACTGAATAAGAGAGGAAAGTAATTATTTTGTTTTATATGCTATTCTTCATAGTCATTTATTTATATTTATATTTATATTTGTATCTACCTGAATCTCAAATTTCCATTACGATATTATTACATGAAATTTAAATTAACTAGATCTTTTTTTTAGAAATATTGCATTACGATTTTCCTTGAAAATAGTTAATTTTTTTAAATACAGTTTAGATATGTGACTTTTAATATTTTATTTCGTATATTAGGCGGTGGACTAGGTGGTGCCCATGGTGGTGGCCATAGTGGCCAACAAATACCCATTATTTCTTATACTAGTGAGAACATTGGTGACGGAAACTATCAATATAGTTACGAAACTGGAAATGGTATTACCGTACAAGAAACAGGTCATCGGCAAGGTATGAGATTGTGACGTTTCCGTATCCGATTAAATTTATTAATTGTTTCATTACTGAAGTGGCTGTATATCAGTCTTGAACGAGCGATAACTTAAACAATGCTTGCTTCCCATGGAAATCATGAAAGTGTCGTGTTGCAACGCGATGTAGTCGATGAGGACATTGCGTCAAAACAAGTGTGTGCGGTGTTGCAGGAGAATCCGAAACGGTGAGCGGATCCTTTTCTTATACTGGTTCCGATGGTGTGCAATATTCGATTACGTATACGGCGGACGAATATGGTTTTCATCCTCAAGGCGCTCACTTGCCGACACCACCTCCGATTCCACCGGAAATTCAACGAGGTGTTGAATTAGCGCTCGCTGCCGAAGCTAGGGGAGAGAATCAGGATGGTGGTGGTGGAGGATATTCGCACGGAGGCAGTGGATATCCTAGCGGAGGTAGGTTACAGGATTTCAATTAAATATATAAACAAACTTTTATAATTATGCATATTAATGTCCTAAGCATGACCTACTGATTATCAAATAATATCTTTTTATATTAGGAGGTGGCCATAGTGGCCATGGAAGCAGTACCTATCAGGGGCCAAGCTCATACCAGACAAGTTCAAGTGGTGGCTATCAATATTAGGCAACAGATTGACGAGGATCATTTATGCGCATACCGAACACAGGCATGCATACCATTTTCCGTTTATCTATTTCATGTACATAACGATATATCATTCATGCAATTTTTTTATTTATATAAAGTGATATGACTTATTTATACCCACTCTTTAATTTTTCTTTTCTTAAAGTTGCTTTTGTGTAGCAGATATTAAAACACCTTATACATATACATGACACTATGCAATTGAGAACTAAACAACTGCGATATATATTATGCATTATTCTTTATATGCGTTTATTATACACACACACACGCGCACGCGCGTGTGTATACAATAATTATATATTTTGAGATGTATATTATAAATAAATAATGAATAAATTGAATAAATAAACGGTGTATTAACACTGTGAAATATATATTGTGTACGTAAATCATTTTACATATGTATATATAATAAAATATTAATAAATTAATATTATAATCTAAATTTCTAATATTTTTGTTATTTATAAAAAAAATTCTATTTACAAGCGTATCATTGTAATAATTATTGCACTAATTTAAAGAAGTTGTAGTAATGATTAAATTCAATGTGACATTAAATTAATATTAAATTATTTTAATTTAATTTAAATTAAATATATTAACATTATTAATATTAATAAATGTGATATTAAATTAGATACAATGTGTACTAATATAGATATTATAATTTTGTTAAAATAAGATTATAATATAGTCAAACTTAACAACATATACAATTTAGAATGAAAATTAATTTTAAATCAATTTCTGTTTTTTTAGACTTACTACCTACCTACATCTTAAATATATTTCTACGTATGCAAGCCATAATAAAATCCATTTTATACTGTTTCTGAATGACTAGTAGCACGAGTTGGAGATATATTAGACTCAATAATTTCAGTTCCTCTTGCAAACTGAATAAAAAGTTGTTCCAAAGTTGCAGATAGAACAGCGTAATCCTCGATGCAACTATATGTTTGTTTTAGATTCTTCATTGTATCATACATTTTTTCCCACGTTACATTACAATCAGTTACATGATAGGCAAGAAAACCCTGCAAAAATGAATAGAAACTAACTAGTAAAATAAAAGAATAAAAAATTAAAGCAATTAATTGTTGTCTTTTAAGCGAAGCATTATCATTACCAAATTTTCATCTCTAATGTCGCATGTTAAAGTAGATTCAATAATTTTCTTTATATTGTTAACATCTTCATCCGTTCGGCTTGGATTCAATTGTATATGAATATCGTAACCCGCTCCAAATCGCTGCTTCAATTCTTGACTTGCACCAATGCAAACTAATTCACCCTTCACCATAATGACTAGTCGATTACAAAGTGCTTCACACTCTTCCATGCTGTGGAACAATATTATAATTTTAATATTCCGTTCAACAAAATGAATTATATTAAAATTTAAATTCAAATATTTTATTCCAAATTTTTGGACTCTAAAAGATACCTGTGAGACGTAAGTATAATAGCCTGTCCTGCTGCCTGACACGACTGTAAAGTATTCCAAAGCGATCTTCTAGCTGCAGGATCGACGCCAGTTGTGGGCTCATCCAAAAGAACAAGAGTAGGATTACCAATGAGAGCTATCGCGATGTTTAAGCGTCTTTTATTACCACCGCTGTAAGTACCACTTGGCTGCTTCATACAAGCAGTTAAATCTGAAATATTAACATATTATAATATATTATTTATATTTACTACATGCTTTTTTTTATATGTACTCTTTTTAAAATTCTGCATCTATTATCGCAGTTCACTTACTCAGTCTATTAATCCACTTATTAACTTCCAACTCTACGTTGGTCTTTGGTATACCGCGAAGACGAGCAAATAATCGTAAATGGTCAAAAGCATTTAAGGAAGGTATTAAAGCATCAGTTTGTGGACAGTATCCCATTTCAGAAAGATACTACAACAAAAAAATAATCCTCTAATATTATAAACAATATAACACTAAAGAAATTAAATTACTGTATAAGATATTACGTTTGTCCTCTGTGAATGGATTTCTGCTTGTTTTAAGTACATTATGCCACTATTAGACATTTCTTCTCCAGTTAGCATTCTAAAAGTTGTACTCTTTCCGGCGCCATTTACACCGAGCAATCCGAAACATTCCCGTGGTTTCACTCGAAAACTGATTTCTTTCACGGCCATTAACTTTCCATAGTATTTACTTAATTCATACACTAAGAAAAGACTATTACCATCACTTATCGGACTTTGTAATGGTTCTAAATTAATAGTCTCTGTAGCACTTGATTTTAATTCTTCTTTCGTATTTACATCTGTACATAAAGTTATACATATTTTATATAAATTATAATATTCACAAATCAAATTCAATATTACAAAAACAATAGGCAACTAAGAGCTAGGGTTCAGGTGAAGAATAAAGAAGAATTGTAACGTACATTAATAATAACTGTGTACTAGCTCTCAGTTGCCTATTGTTTTTGTAATATTGTTTTTAATATTGAGAACTCGATTAATTTATACTTATAAATTAAATTATTTAATTATGAATCTATAACTTTTATTTATATCTCATTTCTTAAAAGATACTAAAAATTATCTTACTTTGGTTGTTGATTTTATTAATTTCTACTGCTACGGCAAGTTTCTCTTTTTTCACTTGATCATCCATTGTATCTTGTTCCTTTCTCAGTTTTGTACCAATCATCTTTGTGAGTAATTTCAACAATAACTTTTCTTCCAAGATGATTAATAGAGCAAAATACAAAATTGGTGTTATAGCTAGATATACTATACTTTCTTCAAAACTCATATCATCTTCAAAATTTTTGAAGTAAGATAGTTGATTTTTGCACACTCCATCTTTGCAATCCAAACCTAAAAAAAATTATAATGAAATAAATCATAAATTTTATCATTAATAGTAACATAAAATTAAATTTTAAATGAATATTATACAATCTTACCACAACAAGGATCCTTTGCAAGACAAACTATATCGTGAAGTATATTTGGTAGACGACGACATCTTGCATTCTGTACTGCTATGTTGAAAAAAGCTAGTTGGCCATGGAACAAACTTACGTACGGAATTAGACGGAAGATTCTCTTTTGTAGAATGTGTAGCGGACTAAGCCAATCAAAATTGCCTAGTACTTGATGTAGAACATATTGTATTATAACTGAAATAAAGTTTAAAATCGAGTTTATTTCTTTTTATATAAAGTAATGTATTTGCATTTTTAATAGAACAATTAATTTTACACTTAATACATCCGTTGAAATTTTTAATATCTTATAAAGATTTAATATCTTATACTACAGCAAGCTTACCAAGGCCAATAGGTGCAACACCCAAAATGGTTATTATAGTACTTCTTGATTTATTCATAAAACTGAATAAATATACAAGAAATAAAACGTTAATACCAAATAATTCCAGAGTCAATATCAAGTATACTGTAAAAAAAAGCAAATAAATATACAAAGAGATAAAATATATATTATATTAATTAGTATTGGACATAATTTAGAATAAGAACTTACGTATTTCTACTTTATAATATAAACGAATATCAAGAATAATATCCATGATGTAGAACGCTAAAGTAATTAGCAATACACCTATTGTAAATATCAGAAAATCGATAGCGAACATTGTACTCCAGTATGATAGAGAAGTGACACCGGTCATACGCTGGAGTTGTTTAACTTTCGTTGCCGTTTCTTGCAAAGGATGCATTACGAAAAGTGACATAGTGGGAAAGAAAAACATACAGAATAATAAAACGCGCGACATCGAGTCTACTTCGGGCATTTGTATTTGAGATGACATTATCGTATTCGGTAATTGTTGTCTAGACGCAATAATCGAATATTCATCGCCAGCAAAAGCTTTAATGAATGAATTACTTAAAAGATTCACTGTTAACGGCACGCTGTGAATTGCTATGCCGGAATAAAAACCGTTAGCCCATATATTATTTTCAGTGTCATTAAATTCAGCAGATACGATAAGATTGTTTCGGTATTCCACAAGATTCTTCATAGAAGAATTCAGAAGAGCTAAAAGAAATAATATATAAAAAAAACTATCATTCAGACAAATATATTATCATGCTTAATACAAAATTACATAATAATACAATACACTTACCACTTGTAACATTTATATCTGACGCTACACGTTCTGCTTCACCGCCCACATTCTGAACAATATTTTTATATTTCTGAGCAATTGGTTCGTTGTTTGATGAATATAAAGCTTTGGGATATCTGTACATATCAAGTTTTAATGGAACAATATCCGTGGAATCGGTTGGTAAACTATAACTCAAGGCCATTAGAAGCACCGAAAAAATGGGAAGAATTAACTGAAAATATTAATGATATGTTAATAGAGAAACTTTTCGATTTCAAAATATTAAAAAGTACAAAGAATATCATTGAAGATATATCTTTGTGAAACATATATTAAGAAGAGAAATACATACAATCGTCAGCAAGATAGTTAGATTCTTTCTTATGTATGTAAATTTCTTGCAAAATAATGCTGATATTGTTTGCATACATAATTCAGTGCCTGTAACTTTCTGTAATGGTGCTGTAAATAATTCATTAAGATGTTTCTCACTATCTTCACTTCTCACAATCCTATAACCAATAATAAAGTAAGAAAATAATAATAAAATAAGAATAGAAAACATATTTTGATGAACGTACTTTAAAAATACTTGTTCCAAAGTAATCAGTGATACGCTTATTCCAGTAACGCCTAATTGTTTCTTTTCGCTTTCTACTTTATCCAGTGATTGTGACAAAGAATCAGTATATGGAACATTTAAAACGATTTTTTCACTATCAACACTAAGCTGTTGCGCTCTTGAGTCAAATTTACTTATGACTTTTTCGGGAACACACCAAGACTTTGTCGACAATGTGACTTCAATATGTCCATGACCTAAAACAGAAAAGTTAATTTACAAAACAATTATTTAAATTAAGGCAAACGTCTCAGTGAACGGATATATACCTGTGTTCAGACGTTTACACAAAAAATTATTTCTTTTTATACTATTATTAAGCTCAAATGCTTTTTAATATAATATTATAATTTAATCTTTAAATACAATTAAATTATAATATTGTAATAAAAGAAAGCATTTAAGAAATAAATAACAATAAATTTTGTGTATATGTTCGGACGTAGGACAATGTCCAGTCACTGGGCATTATTTACTATATTTTGTTTAAATATCAGTAAACATATTATCATACCATA